GGGGGGGGGCAAGTTCGCGAGGGAGGACTCGAAGAGACAGGTTGCTGATGCCATCGCGCTACTCCCTACTCTTCCCAGCTACGTCGAATTTGCGATGACTCGCGTCCGAATGCTGCAGCACTACGGTGTCACGCCGTACCTGGTATTCGATGGGGACAGACTACCAGCCAAAGCCAAGACTGAAGCCGATCGAGCTGCGTAAGTCATCAGTGTGGCTCTGCGTACAGCGCTGACCTCATGCGGAACGCGGCTGACAGGTAGTTTCGTGACCACAGTCGACGCCAAGAAAATAGAACGAGAGCCAAGACGTTGCTGAAACAGGGTCTCACTAAACAAGCGCACGACATCTTCGCAAAGAGCGTCGACGTCACTCCAGCCATGGCCTACCAGCTCATCAAAGTGAGTGCAGGTCGCGAGCCTGATGAGCCGTTGTCTTGACGCTAGATGTGCGACGCTTACCCCCCTCGCGTATCTTTGCAGGAGTTGCGCAAAGCAGGTGTGCCGTACATTGTAGCGCCATACGAGGCAGATGCACAGCTGGCATACTTGGAAAAGAGGGGGGATATACAAGGCATCGTCACCGAAGACTCTGATCTGCTCGTATTTGGTTGCCACACCGTCCTCTACAAGCTCGAGCCTAGCGGCGATTGCGTCGAGCTCAGACGCGACCAGCTCACTCGCTGCAAGGCCCTGTCGCTGCACGGCTTTGACGATGCCCACTTCCGTCAAATGGCTATTCTGTCAGGCTGCGACTACCTCGAATCCATCGTCGGCATGGGCCTCAAGACTGCACATCGTCTGCTACGCAAGTGCGACACTGTCGCAAAAGCTCTGCAGGCTGCTCGCATGGAAGGCATGCGCGTTCCGAAGGACTATCAGGAGCGCTTCAACACTGCAGAGCGCACCTTTGTCTTTCAAAGAGTGTTCGAAAGGAACTCGGAGGGTGCTGTCAGTCTTACCACACTTAATCCTCTACCAGGTGCCGAGGCAGAGAACATCGACAAGGACCCATGCATCGGTCACGAAGTGCCCAGAGAGCAGTGCCTCAGCCTGGCAAATGGGGATCTCGATCCAATCACGCGCGAGGCAGTGGTCGACCTTGGCAGAGTTCAAACCTCATCACAGCATGCCGCAACACGATACGCGAAGCACGGTACGACGCCTCGAAGTCCTTTCAGTGCATCTCGCTCCGCCAATGTCCCATCAGGGCAGCGCTATTCCTCACATTTGACCGAAAAGCAACCCAAGATGACAAGCTTCTTCGGAAAGACGACCTCTGAGACTGCCGTTGGTGCAGCTAGCTCCCGCAAGCAGGTCGAGCGGAGAGCATCGAGCGCGAAGCAGTCACACGCGTCCACCGGACACGCGTTCACTTCCACGAAGTCCGCTGTACAGCTGGCTACTCCAGAAAGTTCAATCGTGCAGCGAAGTAGGTTTTTTCCTGCTGACGACGAAACCGCACTGCCTGCTCAATCTCGCGTAGCGACGGCAGCTGAACAATTAAATGATGATAGCGCAATTTCTTCGGCACACGACGCCCCCGTCGCGGATTGTCTTCAACAGCGCTGCATATCAGACAAAGAGGACTCGGGCTATTGGCTCGGCAACGATGCGGGCCGCCCCGAAGCCTCGCAAATTTCGGACCTCGACGATTCTTCACCACCACGCTCTTCGGTTGCAGATGGTCTCATCTCGTCTCCTATTACGCCTGGTCGCCGATCAGCAGAGCGATGCTCCATCTCGCCAGCAAGCATCGGCGCACGCAAGCGGTTGCGTCTCGATGAGTCTAGCCCGCAATCAGAAGGTAGGCACGGCGATGAGGACGAGGTCGTGGAATCCCCGACTTGCGCGAAGGCACGTCAAATCGTCACGCTCAGGTCAAGAGGGAGGATCGATCGCACTGATCCAGACCTCTTCTGGGATATGCACGGGGCTGTCCGTGAAGACGCGAAGCTCGAACAAGCTTCAAGACGACTCTCATCAGATCTGCGCTCGAAGTTCACGTTCTGTGATGCGTCGTCAGCCCACCGCTCGGCGCGAACACCCATGAAAGCCGTCACGGGTCCCACGGCGTCACTCGAACTCAATAATGCTCAGGTGCCAAGTACGAATGCGTTGGCAGATCGTCGCAACACGCCCGGCCTCAAGACGCCTCACGTTGCAAGCAAAACTCGGGAAACAAAAGCGCCCCGCAGCGCGACGACCAGCAAGCCCAGGCTGGATTTCCAGCTCGACAGTCACGCCTCGAGCAACACCAAGCGCACAGCCAAACAAGATACAGCGACACCGCGCCGCTCAGGTATCAGCATTCCGACACCATTGTCAATGTCAAAGCTGGATTCCTTCCGCTTCATGCCTGGCGCTGTTTCACGTGCGCATACCTGGCACCCGGCACTCTCTGCGCCTGGGACCTCGAACGGTACCGTGAACGCGAAGGAGGGCGGCGCAGTAGCCGCTGACCAGGCTCCTATCTGCCCAAGAATTTACGACCCGGTTGACTGTCGTCAACTCACGCGATGCTCGGACTCTGAGGCCACGCGATGCTCTACTGCTGAGCTTCCTCAGCGAGAGCCGCTGAAGGACCTATCTATGTTTCGGTTTGAGAATCGATAGCACTTTCCTGCGATGGCGCCTGATTCAATCCATTGCGCAGTCCTCGATATCCAATGCACACCTTCCGGTCGCGTTTCACTCTTGCGCCTCAACAGCACGCACGTAGCCTAGGCAAGCTCCAGAACTTTATGCAAATGCATCAATTCCATTGTGTGCTGACGAGTCAGCAGCTCGAATGCTTGATGTTGTGCATCAAAGCTACCCGAGGTACCGCCCTATGGCTTTGTGCGGCGGACAGTGCTTGTACACCAACCTGAGGTGAGCCTCACGAGAACTCGACAGCGCTTCCAGTCTGCGAATGAGGAGGCAGGGTATCAGTGCGCGACGGATTGACCATGATGGCCAGACTCGATGACTCACCATGATTAGGCCCACTGCGTCGCGAGAAAAGAGCAAGTCGAGAGAAGCAATGACAGCGCGGTAAGTCGTCCGCTTGGTATGCTGTCATTCCTGCTGACGCGAGCAACTCACCGATCAATCCAAAGAGACCCAAAATTGAGCTGAATACTTCAACGATGAGGATCTTGACGAACAGCTGAGGATCGGCAGCATCTGCCACTGCAGCATTGGCGCCGGTAACTCCCACTGCCACGCCGCAGAATAAGTTGCACAAGCCGACAGTCAAACCACCCCAGAAGAGCACGTGGCCTGATGATTCGTGATCTTGAAGGTGAGCAACGCAAGGCCCAACGTAAATCCACAAGGACGGGCGAAGCCTAGACTCACCAGTAAGGTAATTGTCAGCTGTCCACAATCCGTCGGCGCCTCCTTTCAGGTTGCCATTGATCTTGGCACTGAAGACGATTGCCATGATGACGCCGTAGATAGCCACCACCTCACAGAAAATGATGCTGTGCAATCGGGTAGATCGCGAGAGACCTTCACAGTAAGCAATTTTGGCTGTAGCGGGCATTAAAGAGCGATGCGCACTCACGAGATCAAGTTTTTCGTAGTGATGCGAGGTGACCTGACTCCGGCTCCCAGGATGGACGAGCCAGTGATGAAGATGCCCCTAGGGTCGCCCAAGAACCATGGTCAGTCCAACGTTCCCCGAAATTGCCTGACTGCATTGAGTGTTCACATCTTGTATGCAAGAGCAGGTCTCAAAGCCCTGCGCGAGCAAGGCCAGGGCTTGTGACCGAGCGAGCATTCAAGACTCACCAGCCAGCGCCGACCACGCTCAATCCGATGCACAAACCGATCCCAAGCAGTGCCCACGCATACGGACTCGTCTCTTCCAGAAAAGTTCCGACAGCAAAGGCGCTTCCTGATCCCGTGAAGATCAAATAAAGCGCCAGCAGCGTTGTCAACGATGCAGATGCACCGACAGAGTAAAGCAGCGACATCCTGCGCCTTTCCGGGGAGTGACGATGCGATGAGGTAGGTGGACTTGGGTGAAACAGCCTACGATGCGGCCAAGTCGGCGAAGCGAGCGAAGGCTACGTTCCACAGAGATCGACTGGGAGCCACTCGCGACTACGAAAGGTGGTGCACAGGTACAATTTTGAGTAGGAGCGTAGGAAGATGGTGTCTCGTAGATGAACACGATGCCACAGCTCCACGCGAGATTCAACTGCCACGGTTGGTTCGTGCGTGTGCGCCCAATCCCTCGCGCATCTCGCCCAAGTTTGACTCCAGGGGCTTCCGGGTCACGTGATATCGAGATCCCCGCGAGCGTGGGGAGGCATCCGGAGTCGCTGTTGGTGAATCTTGGTAGTCAGAGGGAGAAGCATGACTTTGTTCATCACAGTCACAGTGCTTGAGTCATCTTCTCATGCCTACCAATGCAGACCGTCATTTTTTTTAGACGTGTGACCGCGGAGTCAACTTGAGTCGCAATTCTTCTGCTGCCCCTTTGAGAATACATCGCGCACCCATGCATCGCACACATCGCAAGGGCAAGGCTCACGCTCTGGAAAAGAGCATGAATTGCCAGAGGCCAAGGGTGAGTGTGAGACACTGCGAGTCTCATCTTTGCAAATTGGCAAGCTTCATTGCCTCTGCAGCAACATCTGCGTTGGAGCTATGGATGAGAAGGTGAAGTTCCCACGCAGCCTCTCCAGCGGCTAATGGCCTAGCAGCATCTATGTTGTCACTCTCCCCGTCGAACTTTCCATTCTTCGCCCGGTCATTGGTGTCCAGCAGCGCCTCGAGTTTTTCATCCCGGGCAATACAGTTCTTAGCAACCACAAGCAGGCGGCAAGCAGTCGCAGGCGGTAGATGTATGGCGCAGGCTAGCATTCGCTTGACGAAGGCAGCATTGACCTCAGAACTGAATGTGGCTATGCGTGGCCTCAGCAGAGCCAGCTCCAGCGCTCTGATAAGAATGTCAGCATCTGTGCGCAGAAGATGGCTATGCATGTGCGGTCCGTTGTGCTTGCCGCTAATCCCGCCAGCAAGCAGCGCCTCTGAGCTCGTCCCAGATGACAGAAGCACCGGAGGATCCTCGATCGTTGGTGAGAGTGCTAGCGGCAACATGATCGCGTACAAGTGTCCCGCCATGTCAGACAGTTCGATGTTGAGGGCCTCGCCTTGACCCGAGAGTAGCTCGTACGCGGTGACGAGACAATGAAGCGCTTCCCGGGCGCCATCCCGTCTGGCGCTGCGCGACTTGACCGCCCCAGCTCCCCAGGCTTGGTCATCACGCAACATTTCGCTCCCCTCCGCCGTGTCGTATTTTGCTGAGTCCGCATCTGGCCCATTCTCCTCCTCTTCCACATTCAAAGGATGCCGAGGCAGCAGGTCAGACTCCGCGTGCTGGCGAGCCTCGACAACGTGTGCGCGTAGAACAGCCAAAAGATCGCGAAAGAAGTCCACGTTGACGCGATGCGCGAAGCGACTGAGTCCCTCCAGCGAGGAGGCCAACAACGGACCAGGCACGGAAGGAGCCTTCAGGATTGAGAAGTAAAGCACGAACAACAACTTCAGGGTCTCCGTTTGCTGATATTGGGCGGAGGCGAAGTGATGAGCACCAAAAGTCACGTTTGAATCCTGTGCGAGAACTCACATTTTTCTCGCGTTCTTCAAGGTCGACTTCGGCGTTGGCCTCTTTCATCTCTTCATCGATCTCCGCCCTCTCGCGCATTTCCTTGACCTGCTTCTTGCTCAAGTGCTGGCCTTTCCCCTTCCGGACCTCCTTCGGCTTCGCTTTGTCCTTTCCAGCTTTGCGCTTGTCCGCATTCTCTCCTTTGCTCGCTCTCTGTGTGTCTGCGCGGGTATTTCCTAGCTCGTCGCGCAAGCGCAAATGGAGTAGAAGATCCAACACCCGTGCATTGACCCTGTATGTCCTCTCCTTGATCATGCGGTTCAGTAGACGCACCACCTCGAGGGAAATCTCTCCGCTAAGATCTTTGCTGAGCACCTCGATCAGTGCGAGAGCGCTGATCTCACTCGACTTACTCCAACCGTGGCGCGACAGCTGTGATACTAAAGCACGAACGAGATTTGTTCGATAGTTGAAATGGGTCGTACGTGTCAACAACACGCACATGGCCTGTAGTGCTAATTCGGAAAGTGCGATACGAGCTATGGGGTGGGGAGCTGAGGTCAGTCAGCGCGTCGCTATTGGCGCGGCGGCAAGCCCTACACACCATTGATGACCTTGTCGCACGTTTCGAGATACTGTCGGTACACATCGACGAGCCCCTGCTCAAATTCCCTTCGGCGTGTAGTCTCTTGGTTCGTCTTCTCTCTTCGCTCCGCTTCGGACAGTGGGCGGATTCGATATCCTGGCAAGATGTCCGTGAAAACGGCACACATGCTCATGATGGCCGCTCCTCGAATAGCATCATCGACAAAGCGCTTGCCGTCAGTGTTCGTGATGTCGGCATCAGGCGGCGGAGGAATGCTGCGATTGGCGAAGACAGCCAGTCTTCTGAGCAGGCCGAGAGACATTTCCGGGTCCGCGACGACGTCCGTGGCCAGCTTGGCAATCTGCTCTCTTGCTGCCTGTGTGCGGTCGCCTCGCTTCTTGAGCCCCATGATCTCATAAGGCGCAAGCATGCCGAAGCGTGCACTGGATGTGATGGTGGACACGCGGCTTGCTGCTCGGCGAGCGGCTTTCTGTTGCTCTTCGTCGTCCGTGGATTCCCGCGCTGTCTCCTCGTCTTCTGGGAGGCGATCATGAACTGCTCTGCTAGGCTTTTGCTGGGACTTGTCCGCGTCCCTTGCGCCTGAAAAGCCATTGTCTCGATCACTGAGCCCAGACTCGGAGTCGGAGGCAGATGCCCATCCCCGCATGCTGCGCACAGGAAGCTTACGTTCTGCTGCTGCAGCGCTTTGACGTGCTTCGACACGATCTTTACGTGCTTGCACCTCCTTGATGCGGGCGGCATGCTCCGCTTCAACATCCATCTCCCGATCCTCGTCTGAGAGCTGGCTATCCGTATCACTGAACTCGCTCAGAACACTTTTTTGAGCATCGCTGTCATCGCTCAAGCCCTGCATGTCCGTGCTTGCGCTACTGCTGCTGCTGCCCACGCTGGTCGATCTGCCCTCTCGAGACTGGTTGGCAGTTTTGGCACGCTCCAGAGCGCGCTCGCGCTTCTTCAATCGAGCCAACTCGGCTCGCGATCTTAAAAGCGGGGCACGGGACCACTGTGAATTTAGCTATCCAGATCCGGGCTCCAACTACCCAACCCTGAGGCAATGGCACTCACTTGCTAATCCCCTTAGCATCCAAATTCAGCAAGAAGTCCAAGCCATTCGACGCTTTCCCTTTGCCTTTGCTCGAAAGGCCGTTCTCTGCGAGGTGCATTGCGTGCGACTCCGGGGAGATACCCTCTTTTCCATCGCCATCACTGTCGATTCCTTCTCCGGCCATCTCTTCAGCACCCAGCGCGGCTTGCAAGTCTTCATCTCCTGAGTTGTCCTCTTGTTCGCTTGAAATCCAGGCGCGGGCCGGCTGCTTTGATGCTTGCGGTAGATCTATGTAGGCCCTTGGGCCGCGTTTCTGCTTCTTGATGACCTTGTCTGAAGCATTCTTGCCACTCGTCGTGCCCGAAGGATTCCGGGCCTTTGAGGGCGGGCCTTGGTAAGGCCGTTTGCCTGGCATGCCGCTTTGTCGAGCAGGGAGCGGACTGCCAGGTAATCGAGATGCGCCAAATGCACGAGGCGAGTTGGGCGAGCGAAGTTTTCCTCGAGGACCGAAGCCGATCTACTGTGTCAAGCAAGACGCAGTGCGCCGGCTGCTTGTAGGGTGCTACTTTAGTCGTTCTTGAGGAGCATTCGAGGTGGAGATGAGCGTGCGTGCCCGCGTGCGAGTTGCAAAAATCATTCGCAGGCCGTCAAGTGCGATTGCCAGATGGTTTGGGGACGATGAAGTGTCAGGTTCACATTCGATTGATGATTGCATGGTCACGCCTAGACACTCGTAACTCTGACTCCACACCTCGTGACCACATCTATATACCGCTGCTTCACCGTTTCGTCTTCGGAGCCAGGGCTTTTCCAAAAAATTGTGTGCAAGGGCTGCCAGATCTTTCGGCCGAGTCAGCGCCGCGGGACGTGACATCACGTGACGTTTGCCGTCGTCCAACACGTCCATCTCTTGACTCAACACTTCGAACTTTTTGACTCTTTTTTGCGTGTCTCTCGACCCGTGGCTCGAGAAGCCTTCAATAATAACGGATGTGGATCACCAAATCGTGAAAGCAAAAGAACAGGTGTGCACTCACGTCTCTCCAAGCAGCGCGAAGCTACTAGTGGTAGATCACAGGCTGTCATATGAGCTGGGTTGTCGACGAATTGTCATCACACATTATTGCAGCTTTTGCCTCAACACACGGAATTAGTCGCAACCTGTCCGGGCCTTTCCAACCTCTTGGCTCGCTTTGCGCTTCTCCCTCGCAGATGACCGTGGGGCTCACACACTATCAAGGATGGGCAGCTCAAACATTCTCCACATGCGCTTTCCTGCTGACGCACCGCCAATTCCTTGAGAACAGTCACTCGAGCTCTTTCGTTGTTCTTTTGCTGTTTTTGTTCTGTGCTCATGAATTGATCGTTTGCCAATTCATGAATTCGAAGACTGCTCTGCTTACAGTCAGTCGCTGTCTAGTGTAAGTTCTCTTGATCGAAATCAGCATGACTGGAGACTCTGGGCGCTACAACTCGCTTCGTCACTGAAGAACACAGCTCAGACGCCCGCGCAGTTACCTCTTTACACTCAGATGTTCTCATCATGTAGCATGCTGGTCGCTTGTGACTTGAGTCACTTCTCGTCAGCGTCACCTTCCTTCAAATGAAGCGTGAAGCGCCACTCTCGGATGATACACCCGAGCAAAGACACATATCATTCTCTTCAACAGCTCCTCATCGTTGCCTTGCAGTGTTACAGCCAAATTGTCTGAACGTTACGGTCCACCACCGGGTGCAATCCCGTTGTCCAGAATTTCGTCTACTCTACCAAGGCCGCCTATCGAGCTCCCGTTCATGCCAAGCGAAACGCGAGACTTCGGCGCATGATCATGTCTGACAAGAATTTCATACAAATGAAGAGCAGTCGCCAAAGCTGGCAGCAAGTTGTAGTATGAGAGCCCAATGCTGTCCGAGATCTCTCAATGTGGCCCACGACAAGCTAACACAGCTAATTGAGGAGATCTCGAAGTCGCTCGTCGAGGCTGTACTGCCGGAAGTCCTGTGACTGGTGGTGACGCATGAGTTCCCAGCACAAGCCTCGTTTTTGAGCTGATCATCTGTCTCGATCTATGCGATGCGATCCTCAAGCCCGCTTTGACACCAATGCAAGAGAAGCAGTACTCCTACTTCTACCTCGTGCGGCGCTGGCCAGCGACGGGGCTACGATACGCGACATTCATAGACGGCAATTTCGAACGCGTTTTACAAGCTCTGGGGAACACAAAGAGAAGACCCGAACAACGACAGCATGTTGATCGCAGAGTGCCTAGCTCCCCGACCTCCAAAAGGTGCGCTAGTCCTGATACATCAGTGAGGTCCTGACGGACGAACACGGTGCAGCTAGGCCTACCAAGAGCGCATCTGTGCTTGTACGAGCGCAAAGACACCGGATGCTGCCGGAGACCGATGGGAGTTGGATCGACTGTGTGCTCTCTGTGACATAGGGATGCGTGATTTTTTGTTGCATACTTTGCTCGGACACTACAGTGTTCCCTATCGGTCTACTACACGCGTCCCACAAAAGACGTTTTTCTGATGCTTAAAACAACTCACCACCGGCAAGGACCCTCTGATCGCGCCCTGGATGCCCGTTGACGGTACACAAACTGGAGTGATAGCACATGCTTGAGACCTCTGAAGGGCAAGCGATCCGGTTGGAACACGCAGGTCCAAGCAGCGAAACTGGAAAACAAACAAATCGCTTTAAGCAGATCGGTCGGATTACGAAGCAGAATTAGCATGAAGGGACGGACGTCTCCAGGCGCGATACTGGCTGGCCCTTTGCAGTTTCCCTGCTCTGGCTGCCAGAGTACTTCGATTATTTGCACCAAGACTCAGCAATGTCACCAAGCAAAAGAATGGAGCCGGGAACCTTTGAAAGTATGAAGGCGTATAAGGACAAGCTCTGCCGCGCTACCACACAAAAGTTGAGGACAGCCCTTTGGCGTTCAAAACATCGCAAGGTGTGTCCACAAAGATAAGTCTTGGTGCATGTGGTCGAAATGATTCGATCATTTTCCTCCCAGCAGACACCACAAGGACCAAAACTTTCTCTTAATACCCTCGGAGTCATCAGCCAATGCGGGTCTCTGCATCTCCAGGTCTCTCCTTCCATGTTATCCATCATCACTCTTTTTTTTTTTTTTTTTTTTTTTTTTTTTTTTTTTTTTTTCCTTTTTTTCAAATGATCAGCTGATTGCGCATTACACGCTCATGGCTCGGAATCATCTAGACGGTCTGGATCTGTATATCAAGACCAGCAGAGGACGGGTGTATCATCAATAAACCGCAGCACCAGCTAATTGTAATTTTGAGTAGCTATACAGACGTTATGTACTATCACGGGTATGTTTAAACGCAACGACAATGGTGCTCCTTGAATCGTGTCAAAGTTGTGACGTGGATGATGCAGTGCAAGCGAATCACCGGATGCACAACTTTGAGGAGTAGAGTCTTGCTGCATGTCTCTGCGACCCGAGACAACAAATACGCACGTCCTTGTCATGAAAAAATCTCGGCAAGAGAGCAAAATAGAATCTCTTCGCGATCTATTCACCTGATACCAGCGTTGATACTGTGTGCGCTCGCAACCGAAAGTCTTTCTCTGGAGAGCCCAATTTTTTTTTTTTTGTTTTCTTTTGTTTCCTTTTGTTTTCTTTTTTTTTTCCGCTTTGTCAATCCAGACAAAGACGCGAAGAGCAGTTTGCCACGTCATTTGGTATTCCATCAGTGGTATCAGAGCGGTCGACCGCTATCATCGAATTGAAAGCATACGTGAATGACCAAGCCTGCCAGCACAGTCAGCTCATCCCCGCAGAATCAGATCTAATGTCTGACGTACGCGCTACTAAGGTCGTGACTCAAAATGTTGTGCAGACTTGAAGTACTCAATGAAAGAACCTGACGCGAGGAAAACATCTTACGCCTCGATGCCCATTACGAGAAGCTACAATCGCTCGGCATCCCAGCCGAGCTCACATTCTGAGATCTCATAGCCGATCACATGTGCTCTCAGTCATTGTTCAAACGTGTGTCGGTGTCTCAACTGAGTTTAGGGGTTGCTGTCATTGGTCCTCGTTCGACGACCGAAGAACACAATTCGTCGGTAGGAAGTCAAGTAACGATTTAATCACAAAGCACAAACCAGCCGCCTTGACGTTTTGCTCGAGAGCAAGCGGAGATTGCACTGAAAGAGGTTCTAGATTTGTGTGTGGGACCATGTTTGAAGGATTACATTGCGGAAAGACTCGTCCAACATTTCTTCAAGTCTTGTGTAATCGCTCGCAACAGAACAGGTATGAGCCTTGAAATACGGGTGATGAACAAAAATTACAAAGTGAAGATGCAATCGCGTGAGATTTGTCACAAAAGAGGCGCAGACCACTTGACTTGCTTTCAAAGAAGACTACAGCGTTGTTGACGCTCAGATCAAACTGTAGGCTGGCTTGTCTTTCCGTAAATCTTTGATTTATACATCCTTCTAAGTCATTCGTTAAGCGGCAAGACAACGAATGAGCGCTATCACAATCAAAAGTAATGCTCGATCTGCATCTGCTCGTACGATGTGCCGAGAAACGTAGTGATGGACATGACTCCATGAAGCCTTTCATAAGTGAGAGGAATTTGATCAAACTTGCGCCACCATCCAAGTGCTTACCGATCAGATGCTTCAGGTGCTTGGGTCCTGCGAGAGAGTCCACCACCGTAATCTGAGGCGCGATCTTGGACTTTTGTTCATAGCGCTTTTGCTTGCTCGCTGCAAGCAAGACGGAGTCTCGACTAGACGATAATTGCGACGCTCGCGACAGCAGTAGCGTCGATTCCCAAAGCTTCCTTCCGTGCTGTTCGAATTTTCTACGGGATTCTGTGCAAGGCCGCTTGCTTCTGTTTGTGTGATGCCATCGGCAGGCTATCTAACAATGCGCAGGCAACAATCGTAGGCAGCATCATCGTGCGCTACGCGGCGAAGGACAGATTCGAATACACAGCGACGTCAGCTCTGTGCTTTCGGGACTTTTGACGCGTACTCAGACTCAGCAGACATTAAGCTTGTCTTCTCCCTTTAAGACACAATTGAGCCAAGATGTCTGTTCGTCTTTTCTGCTCTAGTAAACACGTCATTGCGCACATTGCATGTTTTGACAGCAGTCCTCGAGTATGCTTCCATGGCAGTCTGATATGTTTCTGGCGTCGGGCCACTCTTGAGGCCTGCACATTGGCAATGCGAGCCACTTTTTGGCCCACAGCGTGCGGGGAGTTGAATATTATTGCAAGTGGCACAGTGCGCCACCCCAAATGGCAAAAATGAAGCTGTGTTGGGCAGAGTTGCAACGCCTGCTGATAAAATGCTTGGGTTTGGACACGTGGGTCATGTCTTTCCAGCCTTTGAAGCAGAGCAGCGCCGCGCGTAGGACCGGTCTGTCTGATGCAGGGACGTGATCCATCAGCTGCGGCAGGCATGAGTTGAGATCAGCAATCTAAAATCAGACAGATTGCCCATCAGAGCACACGCGTTGCACTTCACAATGGAGATCACAGCAGTGGGAGCAGAAAACTCTTGCAATCGATATCGGCCGGCAGGAGCAGTATCTGAAAGCGCAAGCACAGTGATCAGACTTTTTGAGCTAGATTTTTGGCTGAGCATTTTCACATCAGCACTGCATGGAGGCCGCTTCGTCTGGAGATATTTTCTTTTGCGCATTACTACGATATTGTCCGATGTGTTAATATCGACTTTGCTGCTTGTCTGGCAGATGGGAAGGACTCACATACGCTGGTCTCCAACTCTCTCGGGCTTACCAGTGATGCCAAGGGATTTTAATGCTTTTGAACGTTGTAGAAAGCGTTACTGCTCCACGTTACTGGGAGCATGTGTACAGCTGCAGCAAGCGACACCCTCCCGGAGCAGCACGTCACCTCATATTGGTCACCGGCCAGACAAGCACTGGCATCGCTACTCTGCGCGCACACTCCGATGTCCGTGTGGTGAGCGACAGGCCCAAGCGGGGGAGGAAGCCACTAAGGGAATGCAAGAGCGCAGATGAGCTTAGTGCAGTATCACGCGACACCTCCTTCAGTTCTTTGTCAAGGACTGGCAGATGGTGACCAGTGCTATGGCATGGTCCAACTTGAGCTTGGCCACCTGGCGGCTCAGCTTGAGCTCTGCTGCGTGACGCTTGTACTTCTGCTCCTTGGTGTGGTCTCATGACCATAGATGAGGTGAACAGGCCCCTCGAGGCAGCCAGCACATGGCTGACCTTGAGCGCCTCCATGCTGGCAGCTGCAAACAACTCTTCAGCCCAGATCATAGAGCCCGAGTTGTCGCAGTTGGCAGTGCTGGACACGCGCCTCAATTTCATTGCAGTATCAAGGGAAATTTTACTGATGTGATTCACAACCTTTCGATGTGATTCACGTGGCAATTGCTTTCTTCTATGATTCTTTGCTGGGGCTGAGGTTACAGAGTGGGTCCTTCATCCAAACAATGTCCCTGATACCTGGTGGAGTATTTGAAGCTCCCTGATACCCCTCAACCC